ATAAAGTCACTTTTTCCTCTTCCCAATCTCATCTAAGTAACTTCAGGAACCTGGACCTTGGTACTACAGGCACAAACATTCTGCTGTGTCAGTTTGGCTTTGGTCTACATAACTGTGTTTCTTTAAACCTGGTAACTTTGTGTTGTCAGATTGCCTTTTCTCTCCCACATATCTGCAGGGATATGGTGCTCTTCTCATCAGGATTAGGATCACCCACATGGTAATGAGGTAGGGAACACACACTGCTTAATTTTTCTCCAAGCCATCCTCATTGAGGCAGCAGGGACTATGAGTAGCCACAGAGGTGATGATCTGTCCTAAGTCACAAAGCTTCCTTTCTAGGTTCATACTTAAAGATGGGCTTCTCTGTTCCTGCAAGGCTACCAGAATGCCATGCTAGAATGCTATTAGTTTTCTACAAAGATGCCTTCATTTCCTAGGAGCATGAGCTGGGGAGGCCCAAATAACCTAGATGCCATTAGGAAACACAATCACTAGCTAGCAAGAACCCAGAATATGCTGGTCTAGCATTTGGCACTATGTTCGCTTTAATAAATCTAAATGTCTTCAGGATTTCACACCCAAAAGGTAATAATGAGATGAAAAGCAGTGTCATACAGAGGCATTGGCTGGCTGACTAATCTGATAAAGGGACCTCTCTTCTGTGGGCCCAGTTTCCTTACCTGCACAAGGATGGAGACAGTCTCCAAGGCCCCTTCTAGTTCTACCATTCTATGATTCTGTGAGTCAAGATTGTTATATTTTAAGTGTATTCAGAATGTATGAATTCAGTTACATTTATTGACCACCTACTCTGTTAGGTCTGGTGGAGGGCACTATTCGGCTACACAGACATAAAAGATAGTCCCTGACATTGAAAGAGCTCAAAGTGTAATTATCATAGAATTTAAAAATCTAAGAACTGTCCTATGATGATGTGTTAAATAAGCAGTATGTACAACTAGTCTTACAAACGCAGAAGTTACTGGAATGGTTTCATGAAGGAAGACTCAAGAAGGGACTTGAAACAGAGGTAGAATTTGAATAGGCTAGGAGTGGGTCAATTACTAGGCAGCACTACAAGGCTTTTTTCAGTTCACCCAATTCAATGACTCCTCTGCACATCAAAAGCACCTGTGAAGGTCAGTCCAACAAGGTCTGATAGTGCCTTGATACAATTTCCTCTACACACAGCACAAGGAGGCATAAGCACTGATCATTGACACAAACTGCTTCTACCTCAGGGGTCAAGAGTCACACAATCATCCTTGCCACAAGAAAAGTCTGGGTACCTTGACCCCACCAGTAATCTGGTCATAAAATTAAAAGAAACAGCTAGGAAGCCAACTCTAGAAGACAGTGAACGTGTTCCTTCCCCCAAGCTTTATCAGGAAGTTGAATTTGGTCAAATACCACAATAGTCTCTGAGTAGCTGGACATCTCACAGTTGTCAGCGTCATTCCACTAGAATGTCCTGACATTACCAGCCAAGCTGGTGGCAACGTGTTCATGCAAGCTAGACAGGGTTTGGGCAGAAAAGACTGAGAATGGTTCATGTGGTCAAAGCTGAAACTGGCACACGCACTCACATCTAAATACCTCACCCTAAAAATAAATTAGGAAATCCTTTTTTTATTTTTATTTATGTTTTTAAGAAATCTTTTTTTAAAGCACTGCATAATTTTCACGTTGCTTTTAAAGTCAATACATTTACCATAGATATAATTACATTTAAATAGGGAATATATTTAAATACGGCTATCTACTGGTAATCTATCCTTCCCTCTTCAGGGTGTGTATTTGAATCTTCCAGACAAACATAATGGTTATACAGAATTTCAGACTCTCCGGGGTGCATGAGGCTTAGTGATAATCTAGTCCAATTTCCTATTCCCAGCAAGAATTCACTTTGTGACAGCAGCCCTGAGAGATGGCCACCCAGTATCTTTGGAAGCACTTATAACAATACAGAGCTAACTAGCTCCTAGAGAGACAAACTTTTCTCATTTTATGTATTCAACCTACTCTCTGTCCACTCAAAATTATAGGTCCCTTCTCTTAGAAGTCGAAACGTGTGAAGGCAAAATCCAAAAACAAAAAATACCACTGGCACTACTAACACGGCATGTTTTCATCAAGGGGTGCCCGCATGCCTGGCCAGATTCCTCAAGCCATCTGGCTGACCCAGGGCTGTGCCGCGGGCAGCTATAAATCAACTTGCACTTGTTCCTAAGCACCTGCTGCAGGCAAGACCCTATTATGAAAATGCAGGTCCAGATGTGCAGCAAGATCTCGACTTCCCCAAGGCAAAAGTGCAGCACTCAGAGGATGTGCAATCCACACCCCTAGACAATTTGAAGATGAAAACAGACAGCCCTCTGTCACTGGTGGTTCAGATGTCATCACCTGCCTGAAGACAGGAGATTAGATCAGCTGATTTCCTGACGTCTCCCTAAGCTTTAATACTAACCAAGGGGCCCACATTCTGCCCCCCAAGTCCTACCCCACACTGTGTGGTTGGTAGTGAATTATACGCCAAAGGAAAAGGTCGACCAGAAAGAGATTTCATGTTTCAGAGGCATGTTGCTGTCCTTTGTACAGCTTGTCACTGGCTAGTCATAAGGCGGCCACCACCTAGAGTCTCTGTGTGTCTGTATATGACAGACCCAGGCAAACACATATGCACACACATACAAACACGCACGCATATGCACTAACAGATTTCACTACCCTCAATAAAAAGGATTTATTGCCAGGGTCCTCTCCCCTTTGGTTAGATTTATGCTTTCCCATTCCACTCATTCACTAACCTGTTAACTTCCTTCTTCCTTCCCCTCTCCATTCTCCTTCCCCCAGCCCTACCCTCAAACATATTTATTCTATCTGAGTGGCTCAGTTGGTTAAGCACTGGACTCTTGATTTCAGCTCAGGTCATGATCTCAGGGCTGTGGGATCAAGCCCTGTGTTGGGCTCCACACTCAGCGTAGAGTCAGCTTGTCCCTCTTGCTCTGCTCTTCCCCCAGCTTCTCTCTCTCTCTCTCTCTCTCTCTCTCTCTCTCTCAAATAGATAAAGAAATAAAATCTTTTTTAAAAAATTGCTCTATCACACAGACAGCTGGAACTCATGGCAGTTCACAAACAACCTCACCCCTCATATCTGAGGGCAAAGCACAAGAAGTAACTTGGGGGGAAAGTCATTTTAGTAGAAAATTCAACCTGCCTCCATCAAACAGTAACTTGGCTAATTATAAGCTTCATCCCACAGGCAGTTTTGTTCAGAGGCCTTTGGGGCCCAAGTGGGACAGATCCAAATCAGACTCTGTCTGGCTCCCAGATACAAAAAGGGCCAAATGCCAAACAGCTCCAAATTTCAAATTCCCCTGGACAGCCAAACCAGAGGTTGCCTGGGCCCAGAATTACCAGATCACTCAGGGCCTGGAAACAAATCTCATCTCTGTTTTAAATGGTTCCAACCACAAAAATTTAACTCTAGGATGGAAGGGTGTGGTGGCAAAAAGAGCTAGTGTTTCAGCAGGGGAAGGACTGAAAGAGAGGGAGAATGACAGAGAGCAGAGTTCAGCTCTGCACTTCAAAAAGAAGCCAGGCAGGAATAAAGAAAAAAAACCTTGAAGAGTGACAGGGGAAACATTTTTTTTAACAGTACACATATGCCTGCCTGACTGCACATGTTCACATGGACCACACACAAATACACACACAGACACACACAGACACACACACACACACTCCACCATAAACCTCAGACTGGGAAGCAGCTAAGAAGCCATCACCAACCTGACTTTGCCAAATACTTCACAAAGTCGGCAGCAACAGCAGCAGCAAAAGTGCCTTTTACAAAGAGCCTCTCTGACCTTCCTTTCCTAGCCCTGTTATAAACTGCCCCCCTCCCCCTGCTGTTATCCAAGCCAGCTGCAACCATCAAAAAGTCTGGCAAAGCAGCCTTGAAAAATCACTCTTGATGCACCGGGAAGGCCTGGAGCCCTCACAGAAGAAGGGTAAAAATGAGCTCCAGGAGGGCAAAGCTCATTTTAATTACCCACAAAGGCTGGCTGAGGAGCCCCCTCCTCCCTCTCATGGCCACGCCCCAGCATGGGAGCTCCATTTCCAGGTCACTCTAGTATATGAACTATAGCAGGCTCATACCAGGTGTGGCTTACAGTCTGTACACACACCTCTTGGCTCCCCAGGGTTCTCATAATAATCCCAAAATTAGCATTGCTCCCATCCCTCGAGTATATAGCATTCTCAGCACACCCAGTAGTCATGCCATAGAACCCTAGAATCCAACCGGCCACCTCCCTAGAGCAGTGACCTATACAGGATTCAAACGGTGACTCTAGTACTAGCTATTACATCACAGAAAAAAAAATAACTCCAAGGCTGGTATCAGGCTCACAGAGAATATGGAGTTGTTTATGTTGAGTGATCTTGAGTGAAACTCACATTTAATAGGCACATATGTGCCACACATTCAGCGAGTTTGTGGCACATTTGAGGCTGGAACCGGTCTGCAGGTCCCCAGTAAGTTAGCTTTTCAATTTAATAGCTAGCAGAGAGCTGAGCCCTAAGGAAATAGGACCCAGAGTAACAGAATAGGTGAGTTTTGTGGTACAGAGTAATGACCATGAGGGCTACCCTTAGGCCCAGACCGGGTGGGGAAGAGGGATTCTGTCACTAAGCACCTAAGGTGACCACTGAAAAGGAGAGGCGAATAACAAAGAGAAATTCCTTTTTTTCCCAAGTGTGCCAGGGATAGTCCCAAATCAGTGCTATAAAATTGGGGTCAAAGGTCTTGGCCTTTTTAGGAAGCATGGACTCTGCTATAAGCACAAAGAAATGAACTCAGTCAGCATGATCTAAGGACATTGCTCAAGAGGATAGTGCCATCCAAGGACCATCCACAAACTTCCCAGAAAGAGGGTTCTTCCCCTAGACCCAAAGTAACCATAATCAGGCAACTCTATTCAATGGAAACTCACTCGAAGGCGAAGAAGAGTGTACATGTCCCCAGGATGAGGAAGAGGGTCAAATAGAAGATGCCCTTTTGCCGGGCCATCATGACTCGCCCATCACAGCAGAAGGTGTTCCTGCCTGGGAGTTTCTCCCATTTCCGTGTCACCTTCTTTCTCACCACCATCACAGACATGACTGGAATTCCTGGTCCAAAATGGGCTTTGTGATTACAAGAGGGAAGAAACAGAAGCTGAGCCCAGGTTTGAAATCACGATGCCTGCTATTGCTGCCGCAGGGTCAAACATCATCAAAAGTCCAATTTCTAGGCCTAAGAAAAAGCACAAAAGGTAAAAAAAAATGAGGCAGGAACAAGAAAATGCAGTTCAATCCTCCTTTCCCAGAGGTGGAAAGATGAGCACTGCCTGAAGGGGTAGGGGTAGGGAAGTGGGAAAAGTTTATTTCTAGTCTGTGTTAGCAAAGGAGAAAAGGTTAAAGGTTCTGAAAAAAAAGAGGGGGGCTAGCATACCTTCTTAAATAAATCCCTATGCTTCCAATATAATACTGATGATTTGATCATCATAGAACTTTGGAACTAGAAGGGATTTTATGGGTGATAACCCCAATTACTTTGTTTTGGAAGTGAGTAAAGTTAAGACCAAAGAGAGGAAGTAACTTGTCCAGGGTCACACAGCTGCAAAGCTAGGCCAAGAAAATACGTCTGCTGACTTCCAGTTCAGGGCACTTTCCACTATACCACTGTTCTATAATCATCAGTAAGAGGACTCTAAAAACAATAGTAGAGTTTGTGTCCCTAAGGAGCTATTCCCTCCCCTCCTCCACTTCACCTTCTTTCTTCAATTAGCCACTCAAATATGAATCACACCCGGGAACAAGTCACCCTCTGGCAGGGCTAGGAGGTTCTGGACACTCTGTACACATATCCAGGTTGTATTTACTCAAAACAGATTTCCCCTAATCAAACCCTCTGTAACTTCCTGAGTCCGGGAAATGAATCAATCTTGACAGTCTAGCCTAACATTTGTGGGAATCTTAATGAAACCACATCACAGACCCATAGGTGAAAGGCTGACTTAAGCAGGAGAGGTTCTGGAATGGTTAGGGGTGGGGGTGGGGGTGGTGGAGTGGACATGGCAGCAGCTAAGAAAAGTCATAAAGGTGCTTGCTTTCTGGGACATTTCATAAGTGCCATCCCTACTCGGCATCCTGAACACCCCCGGCCCAGCCTTTTTCAGCCACTGCCCACCTTCTCGTCTCAGGTGTGGTGCTGTGGCCTCCATTTACTGACACCACATGCCCCACGCTGGCAAGAATGAGGTGGAAGCCTGCAGACTGCCTGACTGATGAGAAACAACCAACCCAAAATCATTCCGGGCTGGAGAGGGCAAGGGTCCAAACAGAGACCAGGAGATGAGCAGGGAAATGAGAAAGCAAGAAGGCTTGGCCAAGGGGAGGGAGCACCAGAGGTGCAGAGAACACTTCCTTTGTGTAAAACTAACCTGGAAAACAATCTCCTCCAGATAAACCGGCCCAGCGGGAGAAGAGAGACCAGGAAGGGGAGCCGGGCCCTGGGAGAACAAAGATCAAAATCCGTCGAGAGCCAGCGACCGGCCCACCAGCCGGGAACCGGAGGCCCGAGTCCGGGGCGGGCGGCGGGCGCGGCCTCGGGAGGCCAGCCCTGCCTCCGCCACGCAGCGGACCACCGCCCCAGGCAGGTTGGGACGCGCGCCACCTCCACACGCTCGTACACACTCACACACGCCCCGCCACGTGTAGTCACCCGCGGCCAGGGGCTCGGCGGCTGCCCAGATGAGAAGGGCAGCTGCCGACGTCCGCACGGCCCAGAGCAGCGAAGGGGCTGGCAGCCCACCATGCGGCCGAGCCCAGGAGACCCCAACCCCCACCCCTCGTTACCTGAACCCGGGAGACCGAACTCGGCCGGGACTGAGGGCAGGAAGTGGACCGTCCCAGGGGACCACGTCAGCTGCCAGAGGTGGCAGCGACTTCTCCTTCCCAGCCCGGAGGCTGCCTCCTCCTGACAAGGGGCCCCAATGGTCGGGGCCCTAAACCAGCTGTGGCAACCGCCCACCGCTGGCCGAATGGAACGCTCCTCACGTCACCAGGTCGTTCCAGTAGTTGCTCGCCCGCCATTGGCTGCTCGGCCTCAGCGCCTCCGCCCCTGCCACCCCTGCCCCAAACTACCATTGGCTATCCCGAATGCCATTCGACGCTGCCTCCGCCCCACTCCCCCACCCATCTCCCGGCTTCGTGCCCACCTGCCAAGCCACTGCCAGCCTCCCTTTGGGGTCCGAGCGCCAATGTGAGAAGCGTCGCTTTCTACTGTTAGAGTTACACAGAGACGGAGATTAAGGGTAGTGCTGATGGGACAAGGAGGGATGGGCCACCAACCTCCCCCCCGCCACACACACACACGGTGAGACGCTGAAGCAACACTGGCTCATAGATCCGGGTGCTCACCCCATACTAGGTCCGCCCTGGGCCCCTTTGGCCCTACATGCATGAAATCAACTTGCGACCTGGGATTTTACTCTTTGTCAGCATAAAAACAAGTCCTCTGCCTCCCAAGTCCCATTCAGTCGTTTAGGGACCTCACCTCTGTCCCAGTCACCCTGGCCTGCATCTCTAAGGTTTCCGGAACAAAACAAACAAACATAAAAAGGAACTTGAAAGGGAGAACTGTCCCCAGGAACATGCAATCATTTTGCAGCACTGAAAACAAATAATTGATGGTGATGAAGTTAGAGAAACTCTACTACTGACAGGACTTAAATTCTTCCAGTTCGGTAATGAGGTAAGATCGCCAAGAAGCTTGCAAATTACTGTTCGCTTTGGAGAGCTTTAGATAACTGGAGGGGGGCGGGGATACAACGCAGAATCCCCACCCACCAACCACATTGATTCTTTCCTTCGGCCTCTCCCTTCTGCAGCTACAGCCACAATGAGCCACTGCTGATCCCAGTGAGCCTCATCCTTTGGAAGTTCGAGATGGGTGTGGGAAAAACAGTTGAGAACCAGGGCATCACTATTATACAGCGGACTTTAAAAAATATCATATCTGCTTCTGCTAGTATAGTTCCTTATTTCCAAATACAAGGGGAAATATGAGAAAGGGCTGAAAGTGGCCTCTCCTTACCTGTCACACTGCTGGGGACAGTGCCTAGGTTGCCAACCATTTTCCTGAGCTTGAATAAAGTTTCTCTAGGGTGAGAATATTTGCAATTAATATGCAGGAGACTGCCAAAGCTCTTCCCAAGACAATTTTTGTGTGTATTAGTTGAAGGACCATATACATGGTCAGGAACTATTTCTCCTTTACAGTATTTGGGTCCCACATGAAATGAAGAAAAAAACTATGTAATGATAATTACATCTGACACTTTCATGGCACCACCCTTCAATCAAAAATTTAAAAGGATTGAAAAATCACTAGGTAATTCTCTTATGAGAGAGATGTGTTATAATTAATTTTAGGGTTAAGTATGTCTTTATAAAGCTTCTATTGTTCCTTAGCACTCATACTGATTATAATCATTGCTTTATTCCCTATAACCTGTATGATTGGTAGTATCATTGTCTCCAATTCTACCCTCTTTGAATCCTGGAGGGTGCTGGTATTGCATACACTTGGTATGGAACAGAGAAGAACTTCCCTTGGCTCCATCAGACCCCTGGATTCCTCAGCTAGTGTACACAAGATGCCCTTAGGAATAGCATGTTTGTCCCAGCTGCCATCCCAGTCAAAGATAAATCTCTGCAGCTTCCAAACATACTTTGTCCATATCTCAGATGTAGGTGAAGCCCAGGGAGTCCTGGAATCGATGTGTCACAGCAACACATTTCTGGGCCCTGCCCCTCCCTGGTATGGGTCACTTCCCTCCGGGATTAAGTGGCTATGTAGGTCAGGCTTGTTTTTTTTTTTTAGGCTTGTTTTATTATTATCTGTTATTGCTTGTGTTTACCACTAAAAGAAACATGAGGAAGATTTATATGAACAAATATTCCATAGTACTTCCTTCTATGTACTTATATCAGTTTATATAACCCTGAAAGTCTTAACACACACACACAAGTAAATTGTGACTATAAAATGAGATGATTTCTTTTTTCTCTTCTCTTCCCAACAAACCTCCCAGACTTCATGTATCCAAATGAGCACTGGTTCCCTTCAAGGAGAGTTACAGTCACATGATGAGCACTAGAAACACAACTGCAATCACCTTCTGTTGTGTGGTATACTATACATTTTGGTATGCCTCTTTAAAGATATCTGTCTCCATATTTATGGCTCCCATGATAGTATGTGTTTGTGGATGTGTAGGGATAAAGTGCTGGCCTGAGTGCTGCCAGCGGGCTGCAGCTTGCCTGTTAGTTTTGCTCCAGGTGTTTCTTCTGCAAACACCCAAAGACCCATTTAGCACTGCATGTAAGAACAGACCCCCCAAATCAGCCTTCATCCTGCATTCTAGCTCATGATGATCCTTTTCTTTTGCTCCGTCTTAAGTTCCAACCCTCCTCCCCACCCTTGTGTCCCCTCCCACTCCACCTACCTGACCTGCCCTCCTTTCCCAACTCTTTGGCTATAAATTAATATATATTTGTACCATGAATTGGTGAGCAAAAGAAAGAACCATGAGACACTCTGCCCACACATAACCAACCAGCTCTTAGGCAGCAGCTATTTCCCTGAGGCCTGGGCTGCTATCACTGACATAGAAGAGGCAGAATGGTGTGTATAGCAGAAGGCACAAAAGCATTATGGCCAAATAGACCTGGATTCAAATCTTGGCTCTTAGTAGCTTATATAAACTTCTGTAAAATAGAGCTAATACCTATTTCATGGAGTTATAAAGGAGATTAGAGATAATATGCAAGAAACGTCTGGCACATAGGAGAAACACAATCAACACTATGTTATGATGATGACTATATGTAACTGCTTTACTATACGTAACTACATCCTATCTCCCTCCTTTATTTACACTGCTGACTAGGGGTAGAAAGGTCAGAAGAAGGAAACCCATTCTTCACTTTGTTGAACCTGTGTCATCCATGTACCCTCATATTTTCAGAGCCTCTAAATTGGTCACTGAAGTTAATCTTTATCTGCCTGACCTCTTGGTTTCCCAATCCCGGGGGCACCCTAGTCCCTGATTAGGAAAAGCTTGGGCAGTAATCTTGTTCTGGCCTAATGGCTGCTCTATAGCACCATCATCTCAAGTGAATC